ATTTGCCATTTCGTACGTGAGGGACGGGGGTTTACGGGGACCATGCAATGTGCCCAAGGTCCCGAGGCTGAGGGGGGCTGGCTCGCTGCCTCCGCAAACGTGTGTGATTAGCTTGACACACAGAGGAGAAGGCAATGAACATGATGGTCACCAAGTGGTCCCCAGTCCAGAACCGGACCGGTGCTGGGAAAGACGCCACGAGACCTCTATCAGGGAAATGTGACACAGTGCCAAAGGGGTCTCTGACGAGACACCCCGCACCCCCGGGAGGGCAAGTGACACAAGTGACACCCGTGAGCCATCGCCCGCCAGGTGGGACCAAGTGGTTTCACCAGATTCCATTAGACTGGGCTTTAGTCTATCAATAAATTTCACTTCACCAACTTCTCTCCCAAAATTTTCAAGTTGCCGGACAACTGCGATTTTTTTTTACCCTAAAGACACCCCAGGGTCCTTAACAGTCATCATCTTTCCACAGATCAAAGGAAATATTTCATGTCAAAGGAAACGATGCAGATGCAATTGGTTTCCAGTAAAACTTTCCGAAAGGCACCAATGTTCTTTGACACGAGGCTGCTTATCAACCTGTCCTCAGCTAGTAGACGCCTCAAAGTCACCACAGACTTTGTAACACCGTCTGCGAGTTCTCCAGAGTAATGATCTCAGAAGCACAACAGCCATTTCAACTCTTCACCCAGCCTCAAGTTCCAACGCCAAAGCTTTGCACTTGTGGCATGTGGGGCAGAGGCTGAGAGGTACACCCTGAGCACATGAATTCTAATTAGTCACATGCCATCATGCCTCGACCTCCCAAACTGCCAGGCAGTGTCAGCTTATTAAATGCAGATGCTCGTAAACCAGCTCTGGTACCTCCACACCACGGGGCCCTCTGATCCAACCCCAAGCCTGCGTCTCTTCCTGGGTTTTCGGCAAAAGGCTTCTCTAGCTCCCTAACTGTGCAAGCCAGAGAAACCTCAGAATCCTCAACGTCTCCTTCGTCCCCCACTAGCCAGCCCGATGCCAAGTCCTGACAGACTGAGGTCTCATCACAGCCACTGCCCCCTCCAAACCCCACTCCACACCACAGCCCAGATTATCTTCTAGAAGTACAAATCTCTCCAGCCCAGCCTGCTTGTAACTTTACATCCAGTAAGACAGTCAGGCAAAAATCAACAAAATACTAACAGACCAAATTCAGCAGCACATTAAAAGGATTATACACCATAACCAAGCGGGATTTATTCCCAGAATGCAAGGACGGTTCAATGCATGAAAAGCGATCACTGTAATAGACCACATTTCTAGAAAGAAACAAAAAAACTCCACACGATCATCTCGATGACACAGAAGAAAACATCCGACAAAACCCAATACCCTTTGTTGACGAAAACACTCAAACTAAAATAGAGGGAAACTTCCAAAACACGATAAAGGCCATATACGAAAAACCCAGCGTTCAATGGGGAAAGACTCAAAGCTTTCCTCTCAGACCAGAAACGAGGCAAGGATGCCCGATTTCACTACTATTATTCAGGGCAGTACTGGAAGTTCTAGCTAGAGCAACGAGGTAAGAAAAAAGAAATAAAAGTCATCCAAATTTGGAAAAGATGAAGTAAAATGACCTGTTTGAAAATGTAATGATCCTATGTGTAGAAAATCCTAGATTCCACCAAAAGCCGAGTTTGTCAAAATAAACCAACCCAGCAAAGTTGCAGGATACAAAATCAATACACGAAAATCGGTTCCGTTTCCACACTAACGATGAATGATCCAAAAAAGGAGATTAAGAAAACAATCCCATTGACGATAGCATTAAAAAGAATATTTACAAATAAACTTAACCAAGGAAGTGAAAGACTTGTGTACTGAAAACTACAAAATAATGCTGAAAGAAATTAAAGACGACACAAATAAATGAAAAGACATCCTCTGTTTAATGCATTGGAAGCCTTCATGTGACAGGCAATACGAATTACAAAGCAATCCGTGTCAAAATTCCCACAGCAATTTTTGCATAAACTAAAAAAACCCACTCCAAAATCCATATGAAATCTCAAGGGACCTTCAATAGCCAAAATACTCTTGAAATGGAACAAGAAAGTTGAAGGCCTCACACTTCCTGATTTCAAAACTTACTACAGTAATAAATACAGTATGGTTACTAACATAAAGACATACCGACCAATGGAATAGAAAAGAGCCCAGAAATAAACTCTCATATATACGTGGCCAATTTATGTTTGACAAGGATGCCAAGAATTTTCAATGGGGGAAAGAACAGTCTTACACGTGCTGCTGGGCAAACCGGATATTCACATACAAAATAATGAAGTGGGACACTTACCTACGCCAAAACTCAAAACAGACCAAAGACCTAAATGTAAGAGCTAAAACTATAAAAATTTCAGAACAGAGAGGAAAAGCTTCATGACACTGGATTTGGTGATTTTTTGGCTATGACATCGAAGGCATAGGCGCCAAGAAAAAAAAATAGGTAAACGGAACTGTATCAAAATTAAAAACTTTTGTACATCAAAGGATACTATCCATGCGAGAGTAAAAAGACAACTTTCTGACTGCTCTCGGTACCTCAAATATGGGAGAAAATATTTGCCAATCATGTATCGAAAACGGAACATATAAAGAACTCAACGACAAGTAACAACCCAATGTTAAAAAGCGGACAAAGTGTACACCAATGTTCATAGCGGCATTATTCACGGTGGCCAGGACACGGAAGCAACCGAAGTGTCCTACGATAGATGACTGGATTAAGGAGCTGTGGTACATATATACAATGGAATGTTACTCAGCCATAAGAAGAGATGAAATACCACCATTTGCGACAACCTGGATGGACCTCGAGATAATCATGCTAAGCGAAATCAGCCAGACTGAAAAAGTAGGAAATCACATGACATCACTTATATGTGTGATAGAAACCTAAATGCAACAAATGAACAAGAGAAAGAGAGACTCATGGACATGGACAATGGACTAGTGGTTACCAGAGGGTGGGGTGGGGGGAGGTAGATGGGGTAAAAGGGGTCAAATATGGGGTGACAGAAAGAAATCTAACTGTGGGCGGTGAACACACAGTGTAAACACATATATGCCTCACTGTTCAAGTGTACGGCTGAAACTTATTGGATTTCGTTAACCAATGTCACCATAAAAAAGTAAAAAAGTCAAAAATAAAAATAAATGGACAAAGTACTGACATTTCTTCAAAAAAGATATACGAATGGCCCATAAACACATGAAAAGACCATCGACGTCACCATCAGGGAAATATAAATTAAAACCACGAGGAGATATCGCCTCATACCAGTTGAGATGGCTACTACAGAAAACGAACATCGACTCGCCACCACCAACAAAACAAAGAACAGAACACAAGTGTATAGACAAGGACATGCAGGGCCTGGAACCCTGGTGCATTGCTGGTGGCAACGTCAAACAGCACGGCTTTCGTGGAAAACAGTATGGCAGTTCCTCGAAAAGTTAAACAGAAATGCCACTTGATGCAGCAGTTCCTGGGATAAAGCTACAGGGACTGAAATCGGACTGGGACAGATACTTGCACACCACTGTTCACAGCAGCAACGCTCACAACAGCCAACGGGTGGCTATGACCCGTGTCCAGAAGACGAATGGATAAACTAACTGTGGTGTGTTCGATGGAATAGGATTCTTTACGAAAAAGAAATTCTGGCACATGCTATTACTACCTTGAAAACACTATGCTAAGTAAAATAAGCCAGACGGAAAAGGACAAGTATTGGATGATTCCATTTATGTGAGGTGCCTAGAGCATTCAGATCTATAAAGATAGAAAGTAGTAGAAGGGGGTAAGTAGGAATTGGGGGGAAGGAGGAATGGGGAGTTGCTTAATGGGTAGTTTTTTGGGGAAGATGAAAATTCTGGAAATGGATATGGTGATAATTGCCTAACAATGTGAGTGTACTTGGTGTCGATTATACACTTAAACTAGTCAAAATGGTAAATTTTATGTGTATTTTCTACAAAAAAGTATCTTTAGATGATGACAGTCGTGCTCAGGAATCTGGCAGAGGTCATACCTATTTGAAAACTGGATCTGCTACTTTGCAGCCGAGTGACTTGGGATAATTAGTGCTCTATTTAGTTTCCCCTTTTGTAAAATGAGGACGTCACTACCTCACAGGGGTGCTGTCAGGATTTACAGATTTTTAAAGTAAAATGCCTAGTATAGGGCCTTTGACAGCGTCAACTCAGCAACAATGGGTTATTTTAGCAGCTTTAGTGGAAAAAAAAGGTAGTAGGTTATCATTAAAAAAAACATAACTGAAGAGAGGTGGAAAAGCCTTAAAGTATACGCACAGGAACCAGGAGACAAGGGAACCCGCAAAAAGGAGGGACGGCAGAAAGGGAGGGGCAGTCTTGGCTTCTCAACAGTTCCTGAAGAACTCTCCTGAATAGAGAGAATTTCGTTTACTAAAAGCTCAGGGTGAAGCGTGTGACACAGATGCTTAGAAAACGCAATCGCAGGTCCCCAGTGACAGTCTGGTTCACCTGCCCCGA